AACATTAATTTTTTTGTTTCAGTTAGAACACAACATTTTATTCATAAGCCAGTATTAATTTCACCTGGTATTTGTACATGTTGTCCTTATCTGAGTGAATCATATGTGTTTTTTCTAGTTGAACTTTTTTTATTGACATTAAGAACCTCTTACCATATCCTTTGTTAATTCCTTGAGCATATCTCTAGAAAAACATTAATCACACCATAGTGCAGTATCTGATTTGGTTGCCTTGTGATACTATTTAATACCCTCTAAAACTTTAGTTCAATATACGTATAAAAACATCAGTTGATCTATATCATCATGCTGGATAGATTTAAGAAAAGTTCTTTTAGGATTAAGTGATTGGCACATATTCTGAGTAAGATTACTTGAACATTGTGATTAATTAGGATATGACACATTTTAATGATAGCTCCAAGCACTGAACACAACAAAGCCACAAATTGTTATTTTAAAGCTGTTAAATGTGTATGAATTGATTGAGCATACCTTTAGTTATTTTCTTTGCATGCTGTTTGCTGAGAATCTTGATGTTGTTTTAAACTTTCATATTTTTTGTAAGTCATTAAGCAATAGAAAAACACAATTCAAAACTTGATGGCTTCTAAAACATAGAGAAACCAATCTACCTTCAGCATAAACTATATTCTATGTAAATTGTCAATTTTGTAGTATATTTCAATCGTTTATACAAGATTATTTTTTGCAGGGTTAGCCATCACATTTTTAGATCGGCAAATAATTAACCTGGGAATGTTAGATTAAAAAGTAGTAAAGTTTGTAAAATATTTATTTTAGAGCCATTTGGGCCCATGTTGTCACATCAATGTCGGAATATTCCAAGTCTAGTGAATTACCTTTGTACAGTCCTTTGACCTAAAATGATGGGCCAACCTTATAGACTGCCCTGTATGAATTTTAGAACAAGGACCCTATGACAGGAAGCATTCTTTGGGATCACCTCTCTGTGAGTAGAAATAGAAGTAACTGTTGCCTCCCAAGCTGCACACAGGTTCACTTTAAATCAGTGACATCATGAGATGGTCATATTGTTGGCTACGCTATTAAGTCAGAAACCTGCTGCCCCTAAAATTAGAAATGTGCAACTAACTGCTTAGATTGCTGGGATAAATAATTACACTGATCGGGGTAACTAACTTTAACACTCTAGATGCTTAAGTAAGTCCAAAAAGTCCCAAAATGATGGTTAAAAGGCTGATATTACTAAACATTGTATTTATAATAAATGTTTTTGAAAATAGAATTTAAATTTTTTTATCTGGGAGAATAGCCATTGATAACAAAGAAAGTCTGTCATCTTGTGTCATGATATTTGAAACAGAGACACTATAGAGTCATATAGAGCAACAATTTCATTTCTAATTTTGTATGTGCTGATTGATTGATTATCTGTCTATCTCCCTTAAGTTCATTTGTACATTTTTGTTTTGTAAAAATAGTGATAAATTGAAGACTTTTATTTATTTTGCTGACCCTGTTGTCTTTTATTCTAACAGCTTAATGACATTATAGTGAGTACACCTGGGACAGCCATGCAGATGTACTTCCTGGAGACATTGCTGCTTCAAGACAAGCCAATACTTTTTGTTGGCCCCACGAGCACGGGGAAGACAGCTATTACAAACAGCTTCCTGAGACACCTACCTCAAGAAAAATATGTTACATGTCAAATTAACTTCTCAGTGCAGACTTCAGCTAATCAGACCCAAGACATCATCCTATCAAAACTCGAAAGGTACCCTGAGTTTTAATTAAAATCAAATATGTGGTAGTGTTCAGTTTTCTCCACAGAGATTAACCAGCAAAATAATATTAAGCACTCTGCTTCAGTCTCTGACAGTACAAATAAAATCTGATTTGTTTCACTTCGCAATGTTTATAATCAGGCAAAATACATTTTAATTGTTGTCGACAAACATGCTGATTTATAACGTGCAGGAAATAGAGCTCAATTCAAGGAAACTAGTGTCATTTTTAACTTTTTTCCCTGAATAAAAAAACAAACAAAAACACACTTTTCCAAAAGAGAATGCATAGACATCTGGTGTTGGGCTTTCTGCAGTCCATAGCATATTAAAATGAATCACTAAATTGTGCCTTAATAGGAGATAAGGGCCATCTGCTATTAAAAGATCAAAGCAGCAGGTGCATACTTTGAAACATAAGGAGGGCAAAAGGGCCATTTTTGAGACTGAAACCATCCAGGGGATATCTTTTTTTTTTTTTTTTAGTGGAGGAGGGTGAATGCCTGTAACATCCAATATTATCTGCTCTCTGTGTTCATAAACTCATACACACTGTAGCATTTGAAAATTATGGTACGTAAACATACATTGTTTATATGAACAAACAATTTTAATGCATGCTAAAATGATAATGAAAAAATAAAACAACTAAACTCCTGAGGCTTATTTACTGTGATTGAAATATGTAGTGTAGTGATTGAAAGATGTCTAAATTACATAAATATAGCCAAGCTGTAGCTGATTTGGAGTTTTTTTTCTCCATATTTCCTATTTTAACCTAAAAGTTGCCATTTGGCTTTTTAGTTCACTGCATTTAGTAGTAATTTAGTAAATGAAACCATCGTAACTCAATATTCACATTCATGTGGAGCTAGCACCTAGTCCAATATGGCTGCATACTACGAGAGCTCCGTGCTGTAGGCTCTTTCAAAACTCTTTGACTGCAGTTCCAGTTTCTGTAAACACCAATAATGGGGTCAATTGCCAACATTACATGAAGAAGAGAAAATCTAAAATGCAGAGATTAGATCTTGGCTCTGGCTAATGTTATAAAGGAGCGCTACATTGGCAAACTCTGAGGCCTTCTCCAGCTAAGATGGTGCAGGACATGGCCTGCTCCACAACCTCTTCTGAGGATGACAGCCAAGATGATGACCTAACGCCTCCACTGGTATGGGTTAGTGCAAACAGCCCCCTTTACCTGGGAGGATAATGCCTCCTCTACAAATGCAGATATCCTGGCTTTATTGAAAGAGATACAGGCTCATGTTTCAAGCAATAGTCAGGAAGGCGGTGGTCACCCTAACAAATTGCTTTGCAGCAGGTCGGTATTTCTAGAGGGGCACAGACTGCTACGGATTGTGCTATTCATACATTACAAAAGAATTATGCTGACTTAAATACTCAAATGGTGCTTGCCATTACAAAGCACAATATAAGTGAAGTGCTAATAATATTGCTACCTCTGTACCAGGTTCTTCCACACAGCAGGTAAAAGGGCCCCCTACTTAATGTAGCCTTCCCCAGATTTAATATTTTAATTTTTCTTCTATCAGTTTGACTCTGTAGGCTTATGTTCTGCTTTATTATTGCAAATTGACCCCTTAGTACTTTTGATTTAATTCCTATTTATAGATGCTCCTCATATTTTGAGTTCCCTTTTATTGCCATGTATAGGCATCTTCTTATGGCTAAAATTGTTATTTTCTTATTATGTTGCAAAAGAGTTAATCCTGTCAAATGCTCCTACTGTGATGGATGACCTTGTCGCCTTATATTTTGTACTTTGTATTTTATGCTACCATTCCTGTTTTTGTAATATGCTATCATATGTAGCGCTGTTTTTTTTCATTGCTACCATTATAACAAACATGAGGTTTATCATCTTATGCAATATGCAGCTCACATTACTCAAACATCTATATATGTTACGGTTTACCTAAATCTCAATAAACTAATCATTGACAAAAAAAAGTAAAAAATCACAAGATTTAAGAACATTAACTCAGTTGCAAATTTTATGTATATTTTTTCTGCACAATTTCATAAAAGCTTTGCACTATTATTTTATCTCATTCATTTAAATATCTTGAAAATCTATCTGATTGTTTTGGCTGTGCTAAAACATAGAAAAAATATCAGTTAATTAGGAAAGAGATTTAAATAGCTATATTTAATATGGGCATCTCTGTTTGGCAATTATTGTTATAATACTATATTTCATGTGGTTCCTGCTAAATGAGGTTGTTTATTATTTTCATTATTAGCAACATAGAAACTTGTCAGATAACTAAATAATGGGGGTGAGGCCTGACTGCTAATTTGAATGGTCGCATCTCGAGTGAGCTCCTTGAGAAAACTTAATATATTGCTCTAATTATGGCTTTTAGCTTGTGAAAACAAGCATTCTATGAACTGGAGACAACCTGCATTCTATCAAGCAAATTCTTGAGGCATCTCTACTCACAGTGGGCAGCCTGAGCCCGAGGTGACCTAGAGCCCTACTTGATGGTACGGGTGAGGGAGAGGCGAACAATCTCCCCACCGGTATTACTCTTGGAGCAACAGGATGCAATATGGATACCCAATAGCCCCCTGCCCTACAGGGTTATTTTTTGCTCCATTTACCTACCACTGGAATGACTGAGACCCTGTCAATGACTAAGTAGCACGCAGCATGAAACACCGCTCCTGGTAAGATGGTGGACATCACATGCACCTACACCACACAAGGCCTGAAAAAAAAAACCTCCTGTCTCTGAAGAAGTGGGGCTATTTCCCCACGAAACGCGTAAGACATCACGATCAATCAAGATACAGATCCTGTCAGCAGCAGTATCTATCCGTCCAGGACCTTTGGTTAACCTGTGAACTGAGATTGTCAGTTGTGCACGTCCCCCGGAGTGAGGTCTGTGTCGGGACGCACATACCGATCTGCACGCCGTCCTCACCGGCAGCCGGATTCCAGAACACAAACTGCCAGCTCAATCCATCAACATCCTGGCTCAATCCTAGGGTCCTTGAACATTTTTGAACTTCATTAGACTGGTAACCTATATCTGATTATGGACTGATCTGTATTTTTAATTTTTAATTTTCCCTTTTTTTATTCATTTGTATAATAAATTGGTTCTTACATTTCATCTAACTTTTATCTTACTATTTTTTACCATTGCTTACATCTCCTAGTGATATATATTGCTATAGCACACAGTTCCACATACTGTAGTGCCATATTGTTACTTGCATCGTTGTTTAGTATAAAGTAGAGCATTCTGGCGCAACTATCTGCTACCCTGTATCAAATCAGGGATAGTTTGTAATTGCACCTTCCAGTTATTTGTTACGCTCTGGTTGACTATTTTATATCCTATTTTTGCTTTTATTATTATTTTATTTCACTCTGTCTTTTTTCAGTGACCTATCTTTTATTATTGATTAATTATTTATTTTTAAGACACAGCACAGATATACACGTTTATTTATACACACCTTTTAAAGAAGCAGCACTTATCTGAATAGCACCTTACCAATACCCATTCCACTATCTACCTCAATTCGGAGCCATTGATACTAGCTAGCTCCTGGATTATTATTAAGTGTTTTGTTTTTTAGTGAATCCCTATTGTTCCAGTTTGCAGCTACCTAGTCCTACTCCTTCTCCCCTGTGTGTTACATTAGGTATACCAGATTTACTTTCTACCACACAAGGTCTGTTATAGACCAGTTTGGCTTGTTTCAACAAAATATTTCATGATTTCTGGATAAAGTTAAGCCATAGACAGTGCCTGCCAATGTGGACAAGATGGAACAGAAGCTCATTGCACAATTTACCTTCCAATGTCCAGCAAACTTCGCCTGATTCTGCCCAAATGAAAGCTTTAGCACTCACACGCCCTTAGAAGCTGAGGTGGAAGCCCAAGTCAACTACTAAATATCATATTCCCTGGTTGTCCTATTTCCGCACTCCTGGACTGAGAGGCTGGGAGGAAAAAAACCCTGGTACACCCTCAGAGGGTTTATCTTCAATGCCATACCATTTCTACAACCATCTGGGACATCAATCATGGTGCCAGAAGCAACCAGACACAGTGAGAAACACATATGGGCTCTTACTGAGACCTGGAGCCTGCGGAGTGCAAATGTTTATAATTATACCTCTGTGTTGGTTTGTCTAATGTGCCACTAACTCATGTTGATAATTCATGTGATATATCCATGCATGTCAAAATAAATAAATTACAATAAATAATTTTCCAATTAAAAAACATGCTAATGTATGAAATGTATATATATCTCCAAAGTTTTTCAAAGTTTTATATGTATATTAGTTGCAAATTTTAAATGTATATCAATTGCAAATAATCTATGAATTCAGTGGTTATGGTGCTTGGAGTCTGGATATGCAGCATTTCAGTATGAAATGATGCACATACCAAGATGTTTAAATTCCTGCTGGAGATGTTCTGTGAACATTCCATGCAATATTCTGATTGCTAATAGCAATAAGCTGATTATTTCAGTCAATCAGCAGTCAGCGGAATCACCATCCGGTTTCTCACTCACGCACCCAACGGGATCCCAAGTAAGAGGGCAAACCACTACAAAAAGGTTTGCCCCATTAGAGGGGTATGTCACCAGAGTACTCCTGGCATCCTAACCATTACAGTGGGCTATAGTGGTTTGATGTATTGGGCAACACTTTAAATATTCAGTACATCAATGTAGGAGTTATCTCTTAATATCAGATACTTCATATAACACACATTAATAATATAGTACAACAATAACAAATTCCAATGGTCTTCAACCTCTATCTTTAGTTGTATGCTGCCAATCGGTCTGTACATATTACAATACTTGTATATCTCCACTCTTGACTAGCCCTAATGCTGGTTTCAGATACCCACAACTGGTACTTGTAGTACTTTCTGCCATTGTTTATCCTTTTGGTTACATTCTCATAAGTCACAAAAAAACTTTCCCTATGCTCTCAGTTCTTAGAAATCTATTTTTCTTTATTCACATCCAAGATAAATGTAATAAGTGGTTAGAGAGACATATGGAATGGTAAGGGCAAATCTGCCACTGGACATATTTGGATAAAATGGAGTCGGATGACTCTACATTACAAAACCAATGTATGTGTTATTATTTTAAAGGGACACTATAGGCACCAAAGCAACTTTAGCTTAATGAAGCAGCTTTTGTGAGTAGATTATGCCCCTCCAGTTTCACTATTCAATTATCTTCCATTTAGGAGTTAAATCACTTTGTTAATGCAGCAATAGTCACACATCCCTGCAAGTGACTCACAGAGCCTTCCTAAACACTTCCAGCAAAGAGTCATCTAATGTTTACACTTCCTTTATTGCACAGTAAGTTTAGAACTTATCTATTCTCTGTTAATAGCCTGCTAGACCTTGTAGGAACCTCCTGTGTGTGATTAAAGTTCAATTTACAGAGCAGGAGATAAAATGTAAGTTGAGATCTGATTAAAAATAAAACTATTTTTTTCATGCAGGCTTTGTGAGTCACAGCCAGGGGAGGTGTGGCTAGAGCTGCATTGACATAAACAAAAGTGATTACCTAAATGAGAATTGAACAACAAGACTGCAGGGGCATGATCTAAACACACAAAATGCTTCATTAAGCTAGAGTTGTTTTAATGCCTATAGTATCCCTTTAAGAATAAGGTACACTTTATATATGGAAATAAGGCACAGGGGATTAAATATTAATCTTTAATCCTAGACTGTGTGCTGTTTGCCATTGGAGCTGCTGGTAGAGTAAAGTTTGTCATGTAAATACAGTCTGAGTAAAAGATTCGAGAAATTAACATCTATTAAGTTGCTAACTCGGCACAAGATGGCTGAACATGAAACATATGTTAAAATATAAAAACATATTTAGCTAATTAGCATTAAGAAAAAAATGCTTTTGGTTACTCTGGCAATTGTAAATCAAAGTTTATTCCTATATTCAGTTAAAAATACAACATAATTGACTTAGGAGAGGAATTAGAAGAAGAGACGTGGGAGGCAATATGAGAAATTGCAGCTTCTATCTCTATCACCGTATTTTTGCCGGAACAAATGCATAAGATCCTTCTCCAATGTTCTACAACTCCAGTCAGACTATTCCCAATGGGCAAAACTTCCAGTGATCTTTATTGGATAGGATGCAGACAAAAAGGGCTTTACATCTATATGTGGTGGCAATGCCCTATAGTGAACATTTATTGGCACCAAATAAAAGATTTGATAGACAAAGTGTTCCACAGACCACTAGAGCAAGACCCATGGTCATTTCTGCTCTCCAGACCAGTAGAGGGGCAACCAAGGAATACCCAAAAATGTAACAATAAAATAACTCTGGCAGCCAGAATTTCCCTGGCAACCAATTGAATAAGCAGTATCTGCCCTCGATTAGAGAGATCAGGACCCAAATAGAACATGATAGGTTTATGGATCAGCTCACATTTACAATTAGAGGCACTGTGGCCACCTACCATAAATCATGGTCTATATGGGATTAATTTGTGAACCTTCCATAAGATAAGTTAAGAGTAATCTGCTGGTTGGATGGCTGCTGTGCCTCTAGTTCCCCTTACCTTCCTCTCATACCCCCCCTCTTTTATCTATTTTCTTTAAATGGCTTGCTCCAATCCTGAGACATCTCTCGGCCACGGCTACAGAAAATATTTGGGCATTGACCTGGAATTACACGTATTTTAACTTTACATGTATTTTAACTCCTAGGTACTTGCTTAAAGGGATGCTATAGGGCCAGAAAAACAAACCCTATAGGCTGCAGGAGTGCCCCTTCAGGCACTTACCTAAATCCAGCGCCGATGTCCCTTCACATGGGTCAGGCTCCGCCCACGCTCCTCCCCCGCTGACGTCAGCATATAGTAAAATCACATGTTTAAACATTTGTTACAGTAAAAGGCGTAGCCATGAATAGTAAACACAAGCCATTTTATATTAAATGATAACAAGATAATGGACACAGTGCTAAGCGCAGTTTCCAGAATTATTATTTATTGCGTAATGGACCACTAAAGTCACCTAGACCACTTCATCTCAATGAAGAGAGTATGTAGGTATGTGTGTTTAAACAAGTTTAAATAAATCAATAACAGATACATAGTGTTAACTTTTACAGCATTTCTTTCATAGCTAAAGTTATGTTCTCTTGTTTTGAAATTTGCATTGTGCTTAATTATATTTTATGAAATTGTTATTATAACATGTCGATATGGTCTTAGCTTCATTAAAACAGTGAATTAATGTCATGCCTGCCACAGCTCATATGGTTTATGAAGTAATTTGTGTTATTTTCATGGAAGTTATGTTCTTTTTGCACAATTTCTACTTCCATAAAACAGACAGTAATAAATGGCCAAGAAGTTAGAACATTCAGATATATTTATTAAAGTTTAGAACCCATGGTTACCAAGCACAGCTGCCAGTATTTCCAGTTAATTGGCTGGTTACTAGGTTGCTACCTATCAAGCTTTTATTTTAATTTTCAAACAAATGTTACATACTTTATTATAGTATTTATATGTTAAGCCTGAATGCGTTTTTGGTAATTTTATGGGGATTTGTGAAATTATATGCATAAATAAGATAGCTCATTCCCTGCATTCTGCCTGCATTCATTACCCAGGTCCCCTTTTCCCTTGTCTTCTCTTGATGCACTTTCCTGTATTAGAACTTTCATGAGACCCACTTTTCGAACCTGGTCTTCCTATTCTATGTGAAGAGTGTCTTGAAGGTGTCTTCATGTCTGAACATGTGCAAGTGTTACAATTTTTTTTAAATCCTAAACACCTGGCACCAGAGAGAAACTAGTGGCATCACATTCTCTAATGTATGGTAAGAAAGATACATAACAATCAAATCAACAAAGGTTTAATACAAATAGTGAATAAACATAAGTAAATAAGCTGAAGTATGATCATTCCCAAAATTAGTCCGATATTAGACATAGTGATTGCAGAGAGTAGACCCCATAAAATTCGCAAAAATAATCCAGTGTAGAGGAATATCAGATCAAGATGCTCTGTGTACCAAAGTGGCTGGTTACCTTGTTAGAATCTTTACTGATTGGTGTGTAACTATTTGTATTAAACCTTTGTTGATTTTACTTGCTGTTACTTGTTTTTATCTTTATCACAACTCATACCATACATTAGAAATCGTTGCATATTTAGTCATTTTAGAATTGGCTTCTGTTTATCATTGCTTCTTCCATCTTTCTTTTATATTAACCTCACAGCCACTCTTGACAAAGCACTTGAGCTTTCCATTAGAAGTTACTGTCAAACAGTACCTGATGTGCTCCTTGTTTGAGTATAGATACAATGAAAGTGGCTTAAGCACCAACACTAGAAGTCTATTTGGGGGAATATTCCAACCATTTTCAACCACCAGACAATCCTGTCAATA